AGGCGCTGGGATAAGGGAACAGGAGGGTCTCACGCTGCCGGCTCCACGAGACTTAAGGGTGGCAGCTGACTCTCACCACAGAGCGGGGACGAGCCGGCCGGTGCTGCCGATAGGAAGACGCGGGAGAGCCACAGGGACCGCGGTCGCCAAGCCCATCGCTACAGACAGCGCTGGTCCCCAACCTCACAGGCACAGTGCTGATGGCCCCCCTCGCTTCACAGCGGTCCACTCGGCGGTACCATCGCTTAAAGAAATGCGTTCCTCTCCAGGATGTTCCTCCGGAAAGATGTTCTGAGCCGTAGCAGAGAGGCACCGTGAATTCCAGGCCACTGGCACGGCCAGCAGGTCATGGGGTCTGGAGGCGGCAGGGACTCTGCAGCTCCTCACACTGGAAACTAATAAATGCAGGTACCACGGGGGCAGCGACTCTGCAAATCAGAGCGGAATGAGCCTCGCAACTGCTGGCCTCCCTGGGCTCGTCCGCTGGCTGCTGGGCCTATGGTCCCTGCCGGCACCTCCCAGCTCAGTGGCACTACATGGTCACCCAAGAGTCTCTATGAAACTGACCGAGAGGCAAGACAAAACAAGGCACAGACCCCAAAGTCCCTGTGTTACCCCGTGTTACAAATGCGACATGTCGTGACTGACCATTGCTTTTTGTGTTTTTTTTATTTTATTTTATTTTATTTAACAGACAGAGATCACAAGTAGGCAGAGAGGCAGGCGGGGGTTGGGGGGGAAAGCAGGCTCCCTGCTGAGCAGAGAGCCCGATGCGGGGACTGGACCCCAGGACCCTGAAACCATGACCTAAGCCAAAGGCAGAGGCTTAACCCACTGAGCCACCCAGGTGCCCCCTGGCCGTTGTTTAATGGGAGAGAAGAAGAGAATAAAAAACTCACAGTGCATTGCTTTTATGAAGTACCATTTCCTTAAATTCTCATTTCAGCTATGCGTGCGCACACACGCGCGCGCACACACACACACACACACACACACACGCCTGTGGAGAAGGCTGTCTGACATCTGGAGACAAAGGTGTAAAGACACTGGTCCAGCCAAGCCCCCAGTTCCTCACAGACACTGCCTGACAGAAGGTCCAGCAGCTACCGGAGCTGACGGCCGAGGGCCCGTAACTTGGGGGGCTGTTTTCTCCCCACTTTTTATATGAAAACTCAAAAATTCACACAAGTGAACAGAATAATGGATGAGGAAGACCCACGACCAGCACATTCCACTATCTCCCCTCTGTTTTGTTTCTTGTCTGGGTAAAGCCAGTCTCAGGCGTCCCACCATTTTACCTATAAACAGCTCAGCGTGGAGGTCTACCAGCTCAGAACTCAGCCACACGTAATACAGACATTCTATGCCACAAAATTAGTAATAACTCCCTGCTACTACTTAACACCCAGTCCTACATTTCCAGAGTACCTTATAGCCTTTCTTTATTTACATTTACAGAGAGCACAATAAAGTCACCCGACGTAAAAATATTTAACCATTCAGGACGAAAGCCCGGACGCCAGAGGAGTGACCAGGAGCAGAAGCTGGGCCCCGAACCGCACAGAGGCCTGGTGGTGACCTCCCACGGCCTGGGGTCCTCGTCCGATCAAGCGTACGGCCCAACTCACGCGAACACCTAAGCTTCTCACAAAAAAGAATTACATCCTGACAGAACAGGGTCAGAACTCGTGGAACTTGAGTCCATTTTATAAGGTGGTAACATTATTCTCCAAACCCCAAATGAGGACTTGTGTTCTGATAGACAGCAGTCACTCTGGGGACATGTGGCGGGGAGAGTGGCCCCCCGTGGTCACTTCTACTCCCCAGGCCCCACGCCTCTAGCAGGCAGTGGACTTGCTGGTGCACACACATGCATCCCCCAGATGTACCAGGACCGGCTCCTCCCACTACCTCATCACCCAGAACTTTCCATGGGACATTACAGGGGCTCCGGTCACCCTCATCCTATGTGCCAGGGTAGCCCAAGAAAGGACAGGGCTGGGGGCACCTGGGTGATTCAGTTGGCTCAGCAGCCTACCCCTGATTTTGGCCCATTTCATGATCTCAGGATGGCGAGATCGAGCCCCGTGTCAGGCTCTGTGCTGGGCATGCAGTCCGCTTAGGATTCCCTCTCCCTCTCCTCCCGCGCTGCTCAAGAAAGAAAGAAGGAAAGGACGGAGCTGTGCCTGGGGCCACTTGATATGAAACCCACCCTGTTGTACTTACTCTCTGGTGAGCTCTACAGCTCACCGCCTCCGGTGCTGGGGAAGTAACAGGCCACATTACAACACACCTGAACAACTACCCGAGAAAGCCCTAGCACGAGTGTCTGAAGGCCTCAAGAGGCCTAACTGTCCACAGCTTTAAAGGTTAAATCTCGGGCGCCTGGCTTGCTGGCTCAGTACAGCATGCGACTCTGGATCTCGGGGTCATGAGTTCAAGCCCTATGATGCGCCGAGAGCTTACTTTAAAAGAAAATTAAAATAGAAATTAAAAATAAAGGTTAAAACTGCAATGTTGAAAGAGCTAACCTGAAGAGAAATTTAAATGTCTAAACTGTACTTTCTTGGCGCCTGGGTGGCTCAATTGGTTAAGAGGCTGCTGCCTTCAGCTCAGGTCGTGGGTCCGGGTCCCGGGATGAGTCCCACGTCGGGCTCTCTGCTCAGCGGGAAGCCTGCTTCTCCCTCTCCCTCTGCCTGCCTCTCTGCCTACTTGTGATCTCTGTCAAATAAATAAATAAATAATCTTTAAAAACAAAATAGCAAACTGTACTTTCTTTCTAAAATTTTATTTGACAGAGAGAGCATGCACAAGCGGGGGGAAGGGGGTGTGCAGGTCGCAGATCCCTGTGCGGATCGCAGAGGGAGAAGCAGGCTCCCCATTGAGCAGGGAGTTCAATACAGGGCTCCATCCCAGGACCCCGGGATCATGACTTGAGACCAAGGCAGACGCTTAACCCAATGAGTCCCCCAGGTGCCCCCAAACTGCACTTTCATAAAGCTATTAGGTCATCACTTCTGCTATTTTAGCTTGAATTTGGGTAAAATTTTTAAAATAGATCAATCTGGTTAATATAAGCACCAAGTGTCATGAGCTGGAGGTGACCTCACACTGAATGGAGGAGCAGAGCAGAAAGGCTCTGACTGCTTGAGACTGGCAAAGAGCAAGAGGGAAAGTGTGCTAAACTGTGGCCTGGATAGGAATTCCCGCCCCAGAGCCGTCTGCTGGCCTGCCTATGGGAAAATGAGCTAGGGCAGGGGCCTAATACGGAGGAAACAGAGAACTCCTGTGTTAGGCAACCATGTAACAAGTGATTATCTTCTCTGATACAATGACATTCATCATTAACCTTCTCTAGGCCTAAATCTTCACATGGCCCCCACCTCAAAAATTCTTGAGTTTCACTGGCTTCTCACTTCTATTTTAGGAATGTCCCACTGATTCTTCGTCTCTCCCAACGTTGCTGAATATTCTAATGTTTCTACCAAACCTCACAGAGGGCTCTGAAGTCCGTCAGTCTATCCCATGCTTCTCGTCACAGAACCAGGTTAGCATCCATTGGAAGGGAGGGACCCTGCTCAGCCAGCCCCATCTGGCATGAGTGTGGAAGATGCTTTGAGGCCCAGACTGGTGACCCGCTGGGCCGGGAGCAACGCTGGCAGCCAAGAGCGCTGGGGACGGGCCATCTCCTGTGCGGGTCCTGGCCCACCTGCCTGCAGCAGGGAAGGAGACCGTGGACTGACTTTCTTCTGGAGCCTTCTACCGGCTGTGGCAGAAACATTATACCCAGCTCTCCCCTTCAGGGTGGGCAGCATCTCTCGCTGTCTAGCGCCTGCAGGCTGAATCACTTTCTCGGGCTCTTTTCCAGACTTCGGTATCTGCAGCTGGTACCACACTTTAATTAGACATAACACAACACGTTGCCGACATAACACAACAAGGAGGAAAGAAAGTGAGGGAAAAGCACCACCCCATCCGCGGAGGGCCACCGGGGGCCACACGGATTTCAAGCACAACCTTTCAAGAGTGGGGCACCTTGGGAAACAAGGGGAGGAGTCCGCTGTGGGCACAGCTGGCTCGGGCCAGCACAGGCTGTGCGACCAGAGGACCTACCCAAGCCTGTCTGAGATCTGAACACAGAAGCGCACACTAACGAAACCCAGCGCGTTGTAAGTCCTCTACCCGAAAGAGACATTGCGCTGAAACCGTTCTGCACTTCAGAGGCAGCCAAGCTATGACAGTCTCCCGAAACGAGAGTGACGTTATCAGCCCCTCCGGCCGGTAAGGAAGGCCACCTCCTGGAAGGCCACAGAAACCGAGGAGTCCCCTGAACTATGTCCGAAATGCAGCCGCCGACGGAGCGCGCCGGAGCGGCGGGGCGAGCAGGGCCGAGCGCGGCGGCCCGGAGGCGCACCGTGTGCGTGTGCGCGGCACCACGAAACCGGAGGCACCGAGCAGCCCCGCTCTGCGCGGGGCGGACTCCCCATTGTCTCCCAGACACCGGCCCTGGAAACTTTCCTGCGCCGCGGCGGGCCGGCCCCTCCGCAGCCCCTGCGCCCTGCGCCGCCGGCCCGGCCATGTGCAGAGCCGGGGTTGGGGGACCCACTGACCGGAAGGGGCGGAAAGGCGTGGCTCCTTCCTCCCCCGCCGCGCGGCCGGGCCGAAGGACCACCTAACCCCATTGTCCGGGGGCGCGTCTCCCGGCCCATCCGCGGAGCCCGACGCCCGCGGCCCAGCGCCGGGCCCGAGCGCACGGCGCACCCGGGGAACCCCGGCCTGCCGGCCGCCCTCTCCCCCCAAGAGTGTGCGCCCCCGACCGCCCCACGCCTGACCTCACATCTAACCTCCCCCCGTGGGACCGCCCAGCGCCCCGCGCCGGCTGGCCGTCAGCGCGGCCCCGAGGGACCTCCCAGTCCACCCCCGGCGCCCGCCCCGCCGCCCCGCTCCGGGTCCAGCCCGCCCCCCGCCCGGCTCGGGAGCGCCCGCCCGCGCACGCTCACCTTCTTGCCCTTCTTGCCCTCCTCCTCCATGTCGCCGCGAGCGGCCCCCGCGGCCCGGCCCGCCCCGGGAGCCCCGCGCCGCCCGTGGCCGCTACATGCTCGCCCGGCCCCGCGGCCGCCGCCGCCGCCGCCGCCGCCGCTCCTGCGCCTCCCGCCCGCGCGGCCGCACTCTCCGGCCGCGGCCGCCAGGGGACGTCCGCGCCCTGCACCCCACACCCCGCACTTCCGGGCCGAGGCGCGGTCCCGCCCCGCGCCCCGCCCCTCGCCCCGCCCCCACACCTCAGGGCCGCCGGGAACGCGCCCGCCTGACCCGCCCCCTCACGGCCGCGAGATCGCGCCTGCCGCGCCCCAATCCCGCCCCACGCCCTTCAGAGAGGACGAGAGCGCGCCTGCCCCGCCCCGGATCCGTCTCCGGCCCCTTAAGGCCGCAGGAGCGGCTCCAACTTTTCAATTCTGCCGCCATCTTTAGGGCAGCCAACTTCCCGGCCTGCCTCGCGCTCGGGATGGCCACGCACAGGCCGACAGGGAACGGAGGGAGGGGCTAGCCAGAAGGTGAGGGGCGTGGCCGGTGGGGGAGGGGCCAGTGGGAGCGGCGGGATTCGCGGGAAGGGCTATGGGTAAGGTGAGGGCTTGGCTGGTGGGGAGGGGAGGGCTGGGGGCGGGGCTAGCAGGGAGGCAGGGCGGCGGGGCCGGCAGCAAGGTGGAGGACAGGAAAGGAGAAGAGGCAGCGCTGCTGGGAAGAAGGGGGCTATCGGGAAGGGGCGGGGCCGGTGGATAGGCGAGGGCGGGGCTGGCGGGAAGGTGAGGGGGGAATCTGTGGGGAAGGGGTTGGCCGGCAGGAAAGGGGGGACCGGATGAGGAAGGGGGCGGGGCTGGCAGGAAGGAGGCGGAGCCTACAAGATGGGGCGGGGCCGGTGGGAGGAAGAGGGCCGGACGGGGAGGGACGGGGCCCGCAGGACGGAGAGGACTGGCTGGGAAGGGGGCGGGGCCAACGGGAAGACGGGGCGTTGGGCTTGGCCAGCAGGCGGGGCGGGGCCTGCGGGGCGAAGCCCCCTCCTTTCTGTCTCTCGGTTTGCAGGGCGGTTCGTGGGCCCCTGTGAGGCCCCTTATGAGACCTCCCCGCGCCAGCGCCCGTCACTCCGACTCGGAGGACGGCGGACGTGCGGGCACAACGACGCCTGGGCTCTGTCCGAACACACGTAGCCCTTCAGCAGCGCCTGGGACAACCGCCCCTTCACAGCGGAGTCCGGGCGGGCCGCGGGGCTGCCCGCCAGCTGCAGGCAGGAGGCCGCGGCCGCGGCCACGGTGTCGCCACCAGCCGCGCAGCCGGTAAGAGCCTGCGGGCAGCTGGATGGCGGACCGGTCCTCGTCTCGACTTCCGTTCTCCAGCGCCGGTCCTGTGCCGGGGCGCAGCGTGTGACCTCCGGCTCCGGGCGCACTCGCTCCTGCTCCGCCGGACGGAGCCCGGCCCTGGGAGCGCTCACCCGTCGCCGCGTGGCCCAGCACCGTAGCGCTGAGCCAACGGAGCCGCTAGGAGGCGGCGCGGCAGGAAAGGGCTTTGCGGCCTGGCTCCGGGAGGTCCTGGGCGGGCACCTGCAGAGTCCGAGGCCTCCTCGGCGCCCGCCTCCCCGCACCGAGCCCAGCTCCTTCCAGCTCCAGGGAGCGCCTGCCTCACGTCCGCAAGGCCGCGCGCCCTGAGCAGCTTTCCCTGCACTCTAGAGGGACGCCCAGCAAGTCCTGCCGGCGCTTCTCCACCTTCGGCGGGCTCCGTTAGCTGGCTAGGCTCTCTCCCACGAAGCTGGATCTCAGCCCTGGGGGTGACGGGGTTTCCTCCCTGGGAGCGTTCTCTCAGCCTTCACAGTGGCAGCTGCTTCTTGTATCTTCAGGATTTTCTTTCCTTTTACTAGGCAATCCCTTGTGACCCTCATCCCCTATGATACTTAACGATTCTTTATATTAAACCTTTCCTGTACCCTGTTTCTGTCTCCTGATTGGACCCTATTTGATAGTCTCAAGCAGCCCCAAAGGCATTCCAGCCCCTTCCGCACATAAAGTGGCGGCAGGTGAAACCTTCCACTCTACCTTCTACGCTCGTTCACACGCAAATGGGGCAGTGCGTCTGATACCTAGTCTCCCACCGCTGCACGGAGGCCTGACCATGCCCGTCTCCCACTCAGGTGGTGATGCAGCCAAGAACACTACTCCCCTTAGCATGTGTTTTGGGGAAAAACCACTCTCCTCCTCCGTCTCAACTCAAAAGAAGTGTCCTCAACACTTCTTTTTTGGGGGGGGGCGGGGGATTCTTATTCATTTGACAGAGGGAGAGCGCACAACAGGGGGAGTAGCAGGGAGAGGGAGAAGCAGGCTTCCTGCAGAGCAAGGAGCCCGATGCAGGACTCAATCTCAGAACCCCGAGATCATGACCTGAGCCAAAGACAGAGGCTTAAACGACTGAGCCACCCAGGCGCCCTGCCCTCAGCACTTCCAACAGCAGATGTGTGAGGGCTTTCCCCACACCAAGCAATTCTGTGACATCAGCTGGGTGTCCCACACTTGAACTCACTCTGGCACCATCTACCCAGATATGGCATCAGATCCCACAGGTTGAGGGCTCGGTCCCACAAGAACCCACACACACACTTCAGATGCCAACAGCAAGTTCAAGTTGTTACCTGTGCTTCTGACTAACTAACTATGAATTGGGGTTCCCACGATCCTCCCTCGGGTTCAATGAGCCTGCTAGAGTGGCTCACAGAACTCAGGAGAAGCGTCTGCTCACTGATCACCAGTCATCCTAAAAGGACATGATAAAGGGTACAGGGAAACATCCAGATGGAAGAGATGCCAAGGGCAAGGTGTAGGGAAGGGCACATGGAGCTTCCCGGCGCTTCAAGGTATGCTGCTCAACCAGCACCTCCACGTGCTCGCCAGCCTAGAAATTCTCTGTACCCCCATACTATCGGGGGAATAATGAGCACCAACCAAATGAGAATAAGCAAAGGCTATTTGTGCAGAGGCTGCTCTAATGGAGACAGTGCATCCCTTGGACCGGCCGAGGCCCAAAGGCAGGCAGTGGGGGAGAGAGCATGGCGGAAAAGGGGGGATTCAGGGGTGCCCTGCTGGGGTCTATGGGGCTGAGGGAGCTGGAGCTGGGCTAAGCAGACATTGGGCATCCCTTGTGTTTGGTTTTCTCTGGTTGGCCCTGAGTTGGAATAGGGAACAAAAGTGGGCATCGACCGAGTGCTGGCACATCCGGCTCATGGATTGTGCCGGGGTGCTGTACGGCTTCCCGGGCCATCACTAGACACAGCGGTCTGAATTCCAGCAACTGGCCTCCTGGGCTTCCCAGGGTCCTAAGATCAAGTCCCACATTGGACTCCTCGTTCAGTGGGGAGCCTGCTTCTCGCTCTGCCTGCTACACACCACCCCCCCCCTTGTGCACTCTGACAAATAAATAACATGGGTTTTTGTTTTTTTTTTAAGATTTTATTTATTTGACAGAGAGAGGGAGCTCACAAGTAGGCAGAGAGGCAGGCAGAGAGAGAGGAAGAGAAGCAGGTTCCCTGCTGAGTAGAGAGCCCGATGCGGGACTCGATCCCAGGACCCTGAGATCATGACATGAGCCGAAGGCAGAGGCTTAACCCACTGAGCCACCCAGGCGCCCCATAAAATGTTTTTTTAAAAATAAAATAATCTTTGGGGCACCTGGGTGGCTCAGTGGGTTAAGCCTCTGCCTTCGGCTCAGGTCATGATCCCAGGGTCCTGGGATCGAGCCCCACATCGGGCTCTCTACTCAGCAGGGAACCTGCTTCTCTTCCTCTCTCTGCCTGCCTCTCTGCCTACTTGCGATCTGTCAAATGAATAAATAAAATCTTTTAAAAATAAATAAATAAAAGAATCTTTAAAAAAGTTATTCAGGGATGCCTGGCTGGCTCAGTTGGTTCACCGACTGCCTTCGGCTTGGGTCATGATCCCAGGTGCTGGGATCAAGTCCCGCATCAGGCTCCCTGCTCATCCAGAAGCCTACTTCTCTCTCTGCCTGCTGCTTCCCCTGCTTGTGCTCTGACAAATAAATAAAATCTTTTTAAAAAAATTTTAACAAGTATTCAGTGCAATCCCAAAGCTTACAAAATTTTCTTTCTACTCTCACAATGAGACACAACCCAGATTTTTCTAGGGTTCTCTCTTTACAGCAGGCTAATAAACCACTTTGTTGGATGCCTGGTTTGTCCCTGTTGGACCTAGCTGTTGGGTTTTTTCCCACCCAGCTCAAGTATCACCTCTTCCACTAAATCTCTGGATACAATTCTTCCCTCCTTCAGCCCCAGAGCACTTTATTTGCATGTCCTGATGCTAGAGTTAGCCATGATAGGACATTTCCTCTACTCGACTGTAAGGTCCTTTAGAGACTGTGTGGGATTCCTCTTTGCATCCGAGAAGTTCTAGCAAGACAAATGATAGGCACTTGAGACTAAGACAAGAGGGCACTGAGGTTACCCAGACAAGGTCTCAGACAGATGCCTTCCCACTAGACTGGAGTTTTCAAGAAAGCCCTGAACAACTGAAGATTTATCTTCAACTGGCCGCTCAAAGATGGTTTTCTCAGACTCACATCCTGGCCAGATTCCCATTAATTGGTGTGGGGTTGTTGTTTGGTTTTAGTGAATCTTTTCCCTGTTCCCAAGGCTGGGAAGACTTCAGTGTTTTCTTTCTTGTCCCTCTCACCCATCCACTATCTCACTCGTGAGAACAAAACAACAAATAACTAACTAGATGTCTCTGGGTTGGTCTTGACACATGCCATGCAGTACTTCATACCACGCTGTGCCCACGGTAATCCAACCGGTTGGCTTGCTTAGTGAAGAAAATAATTTCTTCAATCACTTCAGGTGAATTCTCAATGACTTTGTAACTTCGAGTTTCAGGCCCTGTACAAGATGAACAACCAAACCCCAGAAGCACAACCATGCTCTGTGGCCTCCTGGGGGAGACCCCATGAGCTGTACTTTGGCGTCTCCTTGGCTCTAATTCTCCGTGTATCCTTCCAGAGCCAAATTGCTAATATTCTCTTCAGGCAGACATCCCAATTGACTTGGAAGAATAATGGAGTTATTCTTTTGAGATGTGG